ATCTTTTCTTTATTAGATATTACTCTAACCATAATATGCCATGTTTAGAATTTTAAAATAATGATAGACAGGTTCTTTATGATCTTGCGAGGATTAAATCATCAAAAGAGGTAGAAAACAAAAGAGATATTTAAGCTTTTGACAACATATCGACAACGACATGTGAATTGCTTACATTGATGAAAGATCAATGAAACTTGATGAACTAGGTCAACTTAACATCCAACTATTTTTTTTCAAGTGAGAAAACTCCAATTTGAATGAAATGGATGAGGGGAAAGGGAGACTCAAAGTTTGAAAGGTTCAAAGGTCATTACTACACATTGCAAAGAATGTCAAATATTTGAACAAAAATTTGGACTGTTGGAGAACTTGTAAAATCAGAAAACTATTAATAAAAGAATGCTTACTTATTGCAAAAGGCTTGAGAATCAAAGACTAATTTAGTCCACATTAGTTCAAGTTATTCTCTCAAGTTATTTTAGTTATAAGTATCACCATCATGTGAGAATGTTATACCATCTTCTTCATGTAATTTCAGTGAAACAATGACCTCCACATTCATCATTGTTGCTCTCCAACAAGTCCTAAAGTAATTGGGTGGTAAGGGCAAAGTGGTTTGGGTGAAGACACAAGGTGTTAGTAGTCAATTTTAATTCTAGAATGGTTGAGTCCTAAGGAGACTGACTTGAGCTGTTGTGTGACTGAGCTTGTGAACATAAACTTGTATTTCTTGAAGAAAATATTAAATATTAGAAGAGAGTTCCTTCAGGATTAGACATAATCGGTGATGGATGAAACTAATATAAAGATCTATGTGTTTAATGAGAGAATTGATAGACCCTATTGAGCATCACACAAGTCAACACACATACATATATAGGTATAGGCTAAAATGAAAAATCATCAAAAATCCTAGAAACCCCAATTCACCCCCTCTTGGTGTTCCACCTAGCCCCATAGTTCTATCAAGACTGCCATAATCTTTTGAAATGTAATGTTTAAGGTAGTTGAACTTGATGGGGTGAGCATGGGCCAACTAACCATAACTTATGTAAATCGTATATATCTTTGAAGGCATGAGAGTTGTACTAGGGTCAATGAGTGATAGTGGAGGTATGCTTGTTAACAACACAAGACATGCTGATAATCATGTCTTCTAAACTAAGAGAACATAAAAAATATTACTTTTGATCATTTTGTTAAAATTCTATTTTTGATGTTCTTTCGTTTTAACAAGAAGAGTTAGTATTAAAACAGATTACCACATGTATATTCAGATAATAATATTATGCTAACTATTTATAACTATTTTCTCCTTTCAGCATTTTTTCTAAGATCAAAACATTATTTACATAAAATCAACAAGAAGATTTGATTTTCAATGTTTGTCGCATTCTCATGCGATGTCAATAGAGAATAATTTACCATATGTAATATTTACTCTTAATAGTAAATTGACATTTTTTTCAAAAGATTGTGCCTAGTTTTTATGTTTTTAATTCCCAAAAATTCAAATTATTAAAGAGAAATAACTTAACAAGGCAAGGTAGTGTAAAATAAAAGAGGAACATCTAATGTTGGATGTAATATGACCAATGTCCTTATGACCCCTTTGATCACATAAAACTTGTTGTAATTAAAGGTTAGCTGATCAAATTTAATTTATAAATTAGAAATTATTGTAGGAATATGAAACAATATATATTGATGAATATCCAGGCCAATCATAGAGACAATTAGAAATTCACAATAAGTTGATTGAAAGATGTAATTGAAATGGATGAATGTAAAGATGAGATGATTAGAGTGAATTATCAAGTTACACTTACATATTCTGATGAAGGTGTTCTCACAATGAAAACACAAAGAATCAAGGTTAAAAAAAAAAAAGGAAAGATTAATTATTTAAAAAAAATCTTAATTCTAGGCTTTCAAGTTCAAGACTTAGAAACCAAAATTAAGATAATTTATGTATTAAATCTAAAAGGAATGAGAGTCAAGAGTAAGGAGGCTCTTAACTCAAATGTGTGGTATTCTTATTTGTGGAAACACCACACATATATCCACGAGAATGAGTAGAACAATTATTTCCTAAAGAATCATTTAAATGTTGTAGTAGTAACCATCACCCACCACAAGCTTAAGTAAATTTTGTCACATGATGGTACTCACCAAGATGCATCGGAACCAACAAAGAATAATCCTGAAACTGTACTTTGTTATATGATGATAGAGAAGACAAAAAAAATCATGATATTTTGTGAGATGAGAAGGAGAGAAAATAGACTCCAAATATATGTCTTTGGAATAAGAAGAACATGAGACAATAAATCTTCTAGAGAACCTCAAAAACTTCTTCATAAAAGATATATAATAAGATAATTTAATGAGATAACACTTCTTGTTAGACTCTCCATAGTATATATGGACAGTTATCTAACGGTTCCTAATCTTTCTTTTGTCAACTTCCTCTATTAAGAAATAATGCTTGGAATAAAATCTTAATGGGCTTTGATTGACCTATCAACCTAGTGAAAAATTGAGAGTATAAATACAATAGGTCTTCTACTATATAAATGATAATGAAAATATAAAATAGGATATAACAAAACAAGACTTTGATTACTGTGGTCTAAAGAGAATAAACACACATCACGACCAATAAATTAATAGGGAAGAGAGTAATGACAATATCTGAGGAATAGAATACAGTAGAGACAAAGTTAATGAAGTTGTAATATCAGCCACCAATGAAGGAGAGAGATGAAGTTAGAACTCTTGTTGTAGCTGCTAGAGAGGATAGTGTTTCTCGTCCCTTTATTTTGTCTATTTCCTCTTATGTTTCTTTCTACTCAAGCTCCCTTTAAATACAAGTAATAGAAAAGGAGCTAGAATATTTTCTGAACAAATAATAGTCATAAGTAAAAGCCCAGTAAGAAGGGATGTGGCCCACATGAGCCTTGCTGAAAAAAGGATGACCAAGTCATCCTTACAAATCTCTGCCTTGACTTGGATATCATGATGATCTTCAAAACTTCATACTGAAAACTCTATCAGCTCCTCATGACTGCAACAAAAGGAAATATAGTTACATACATTCTTCAAAAAATAGAGGCTATATTTAAGTGATGTAAACTCCAATTAAGTTCAAACAATGTTGGAACTTTGAAATGAGAAGAAGTTTATTAGCATATCAGTTGAATTATCTTCAGTACTAATTTTCTACACACTAATTTTACCTAAAGAAATTAGATCACAAATAAAATCATACTTGACATCAATATACTTTGTACTTTTGTGATACGTCTAATCTTTGATCAAATGAATAATATTTTGTCTATCACAATGGACAATAATTAAAGCTTGACATGAACATAATTCAAAGAATAAATCTGATAATCATATAGTTTCATTTAATGTCTCTATAAATGTCATATATTTTGCCTCTATTGTGGATAGAGTAATAATAGGTTGTAGGGAAGCATTCCAACTAACAGCACATCCACTAATTGAAAATATACAGCTAGTTAATGACTTCTGTTTATCAAGATCTCTTGTAAAATATAAATCAGTAAATCTAGTCAAGGTATCACTTATTCTCCCAAATTGTAGACATGTATCAATAGTACCCCTCAAGTACTTGAAAATCTACTTAACAACATGTCAATGTGCTTTACCTAAGTTAGTCATATAACGGTTGACTACACAAATTACATGTGACATATCAAGATGAGTGCATACCATAACATACATCATACTACCTATAGCACTAAGATATGAAATGTGTAACATAAATTTTTCATCTATTGTGTCTATGGTGATAGAGAATTTGAAAGTTTGGAATGAACAACAAATGGAGTATGAACATGCTTAACATCTCACATGTTAAAATACTTAAATACTTTCTCAATATACTTAGCTTGGGATAAGTACAGTTTACCTTCACTCCGACTTCTACGGATCTTCATTCTAATAATTTTCTTAGCTGCTCCTAAATCTTTCATCTCAAACTCACTATTGAATAAAGCTTTCAATTTGTTGATTTCAGATATACTTTTACTACAATCAACATGTCGTCAACATAAAGCAACATATAAAGAAAAGAATCATTTGACAACTTTTGAAATAAACACAATTATCAAATTTACTATGAGAGAATTCATGTTGTGTCATAAATGCATCAAATCTCTTATAGCACTGTCAGGGAGATTGTTTGAGGCATATAGAGATTTCTTCAACAAATAAATATATTTCCCTTTTCCTTTAAAAAGAAAGTCTTCTGATTGTTACATATAAATATGTTCTTCAAGATTGTCATAAAGAAAGATTATTTTAATATTTATATGTTCTAACTCTAAATTCTATGATGTAACAATAGATAACAAACTACGTATAGATTTATGCTTAATGACAGGAGAAAAGATATCATTATAGTCTATACCTTTGACCAAACTGTAACCTTTTGCAACTAATCATGTCTTGTATCTAACGTCATCAAACTTTAGAGTGCTTCCTTTCTTCTTGAAAATCCACTTACCATCAATGACTTTCTATCCTTTGGGAGCCTTCATCAGCTCTCAAGTTTAATTTTTATAGAGAGATTCAATTTCCTCCTCTATAGCAACTAGCCACTTGTTTACATTCTCATGAGATATAGCATTTGAAAAGTTAGAAGGTTCATTTAGATCCAAAGTTTCTTTAGCAATGGTCAATACATAACCAACCATATCAACATATTTATATCTCAATGGTGGCTTAATATCTCTCCTTGACTAGTTACAAGTAAAAAAGTAATTCTAGTTTTTGTGAAAATATCTCCGCATGATGCATGTCAGGCATTGAAATATGTTCTTGTTGGGAATATATCTTATATAAATCAGATATATCTAACTCCACTTGATCTAAAGTACTATCATTTGAATCTATAATTTTAGGGGCAGACATCACTTCTCTAGGATGTAAAATTACGATTTCAGTAAAAATAATGTTTCTCTCAATTAAAAGCTTAGGAGATTTAAGATCAGAAAGTTATAACTTGTATCATTTGACTCTGGAGCATAACTGAGGAAGATACACTTCTTAGCTCTAGGCTCTAGCTTATCATCATTTACATGGACATATACTGGACAATCAAATATTTTTAAGTCTGAATAATCAAGAGGGTTACTTGACTGAACTTCTTCAAAAGCTTTGAAGTTTATGACAGAGGCTGGAGATATGTTCACAAGATGACAAGCTGTAGACACTAGTTCTGCCCAAAAGTCTTGACGAAGACCTACAAATAATAGCATACAACAGACTCATTTTAGTAGAATTCTATACATTCTTTCTGAAACTCTATTTTACTATAGAGTATAATTGTCATGTGTCTAACAATACTATCATTTCTGCAGATAATATCTCTTCTTGACCATTGTTAATCTTCAGCTTTTTGATTTTCTTCCTAATTTGACTCTCAAGCAAAGCCTTCCACTACTTAAAATGCATAAAAACCTCATATTTATGCTTAAACATGAATACCTAAATTTTCAAAAAAAAATCATCAAAAAATGATAGAAAATAACAAAAAACACATTTTCAATGGATTCAAAAATGACCTCAAAAGTCTAAGTAGATATAATTAAGAATATCTTTGGTTTTGTGAGTTACCATCTGGAAGTTAACTCTTTGATGCTTATCCAAAATACAATACTCACAAAATTCAACTTTGCTAGTACTTTGTCCACAAAGTAAGCCTCTCTTGCTTAATAGATTTATTTCTTTCTCACTCATATGTCCTAATATCATATGTCACAATTTGGTGAAATCTTCTTCTATCATTGAGGTAGATGCTATAGTAGCTAAATTAGAAATAGCGGTCCCTTTCTTCGCTCATTTGTCATTTCATCATAGCAAGGACTCATTTGCTGATTTTTATGACCACATTTTTGCCTGAATATTTGTTGTAGTTTCAAGAATGCCTAAAAAAATGAGATTTTTCTTCAAATTGGGAACATGCCCAACATTAGATAATGTTCTTGTGATATCATCAAACATTTTGATATGAAATATGTCAATACCAATAGTCTTACATGATGCATCATTTCTCATTAAGATGTTTTCACTATTGATCTACTCATAAGTGAAAAAATACTCTTTATGAGGAGTCATATGGTATAAACAGCCTGTATCTAAGATTCAATCATCTTTAAATCTGATGATATGAACAGAAAGAATAAAATAATGAGTCTCATCTTTGGCAACACTAATCTGTGCTAAACTTTCAACATGATTAAACTCTTTGGAGTCTTCTTGTTGTCTTCTCTTGAGTTTATAACAGTCAACCTTCACATGTCTCTTCTTGTGACAATAATTACAAAACTTGTTTCTAGATTTTGAGTTGGATCTTGACTTACCTCTGTTTCTCCTTTGACTTTTTTCCTTGGCCCTACCTCTAGCAATAAGACCTTTAGGTTGTTGTCCTTTCGAAATAATAGTCATATCTTTGTCAATCAACTCTTTTAAAAACAAAGAAGATTTAACATCTTCAATAGATATGGTATGTCTACCATATAATAAAGTTTCTTGAAAGTATCTATATGACGGTGGTAAGGAATAGAATAAAAATATGACTTGGTCTTCTTCCTTTACTCTCTCATCAATATTTTTTAAATCTAGGAAAATGTAATTGAACTCATCAAGGTGAGCTTTAATTGATGTACCTTCTATCATCTTGAGCATGAATAGATGTTGCTTCAAAAATAATTTGTTGGTGAACGATCTAGTCATATAAAATGACTCCAACTTCAACTATAATACAGTTGTTGTAGTTTTATGAATGACCTCACACAAAACCTCATTAGACAAACTAAGTTAAATCATAGCAAGAGCTTTCTCATCTAATTCTTATTTTACTTCCATAGACATAGTGTTTTGTATTTTCTCTTTTTCCAATAATACTTTATGTAATCCTTAGTTGATTAAGAAGGCTCTCATCTTGACTTATCATATTCTGAAGTTGATGCTTCAGTTGAACTTCTCAATATCAAACTTAATAGACATCTTGTATCTCTATTTGTGCTGAAATAAGACTAATTAGAAATTTTGATACTAATTTGTTAGGAAATAGTATTTGGAATAGGATATTAATGGGCCTAGATTGATCTGTCAGCACAATGAAAAATAAAAAGTACAAGTACAATAGGAAATGTAGAATTGATTATAATAAAGTAAGACTTTGATTACTGTAGTCTAAAAAAGATAAACATTCCTCACGACTAGTAAACTAATAGAGAAGAGAGTAATGACAATGTCTAGGAAATAGAATACAATAGAGATAGAGTTAATGAAGTGATAATACTGGCCACCAATGGAGGAGAGAGAAAAGAGGAGGGAGATGAAGCAAGAACTCTTGTTACAGCCGTCGAAAAGGATAGTATTTTTTGTGCCCTAAATTTTTTTATTTCCTCTCATATTTCTCTCTCCTCGAGCTCGAGCTCCCTTTAAATACAGGTTGTAGAAAAGGGGCTGGACTATTTTCTGGACAAAAAATAGTCACAAGTGAAAGCCTAGTAAAGAGAGACATGGCCCACATGGGCCTTGCTAAATGAAGGATGACTAAGTCACCCTTACATCCTCCTTCAAAGCCTCATGAATGGTTGAGGTGTATTATGATCCCTAAGAGTATGGTCAACTATCTTTTCTTTAGGTGGCCGTTTTGACTTTTCATGCCACCTTCTCTTTCTTTATTTCTTATAATTATATAAATTAATTTACATTAAGTAGACAGGTGATTAAATGAGACTCATGAAAGATACTTAAATGGCTCTCTACCACTCAATCTCACCTAAGATAAAATGACATCTCACAAAATAAAAACACCCACATCCTTAATAAATAATTTGCTTTAAGTCTATATTGAATAAAGATTTCATATCTTATACTTTAAAATTCTGAATATCATCCAAATAAATCTTGAAATTTTCTAAAATCTCACTCAACACTTCTTATAGGTTTACAACACTTTTCAATCAAAATGCTACATGCAAACTCATTACTATAATGTGGTAAGCTCATTGATCATATTTTAAACATAATTCATGTCCATTACATGCAAATTGATCCCCTCTTGTAATAAATTAAAGACATTATGCTTACTAAATGTAATCATATTTTCACTTCCATTTATTTAGTAGTTACAAACATGAAAAGTGTTATTAATGTGACTCTCTTTTTCAGCCAGCTCATTAATGCATGTATTTAATATAGGAGGGAGGAGGCTTCCAATTGTGAGGGAGAAGCAGTTCCTTCACACAAATCAATTCTCATAGACACATTGATGTCAAGCATCAATTTCTTTGTGATGCTATCCTACAGTCTGCAATTGTTGTGAAGAAGATTCATACAATACAGAACCTCATAGATATGCTCATTTAAAACTCTTTCTTCAAAAAAGTATAGGCGTTAACTGAACTTGATCAATTTATAAAGCATGTTAAAGGAAAAATTTTATCAATGTGGGTTGACTTTTCAATTAGCCAATTAATACATGCTTTTAATCTAGGAGGGAGAAGGCTTCCATTTGTGAGGGAGAAGTAGTTCATTTGTGAACTGATTCTCATAAATAAATCAGCCCATAAATCAGCCCACTGATGGGTGGACTGGGAAAAATAAAAATAGTCGATAACAGCTAGACCATTTCGAGCCAATGGAAGAGGAAACTGCTAAATTGACCATCTCGAATAGTTAAGGGCACATTTAGTGAGGTACTTGCTAGGCAGATTTCTTGATGTCATCCATGGTGCCTATAAATAGTGGGCCTCTTCTCATATGTTCATTACATCACATAGAAACTGGAGAGAGGTTTAAAGGAGAAATCTTTTGTTGGGGTCAGGTGAGTGCTTAGAGGGCCAAGATCAATCGCACCAGTGGATGTAGATGGCCCCCAACCTCTGAACCACATAAATTTGTGTCAGTGTTCTTATTGTGGGTGTTGATGTTTCTCTTTCTTCTTTCCTACTTTATGTCAAACGGATCATGTGAGTAGTGTTAAGCAAAAAGAATGTCACAAGAAGTACAAGGAGAAAAGTACTTATTAAGGAAGCTATCTTCAAAGGTCAAAGCTTTAACCTCTCTAACCCAATGTATTATACCCCACTCCCCACGTCCCTTCCCCTCGATTTTCTTGAGACTTTTTGTTCATTCTCATTCATCAAATATCTATAATTATCTTAAAGATGAAAATATAACCGGATAAAGTTTTGAGTAAGTACTTATGAAAAAACAATCTTTAGAAGTTAAAGATTTATTTAACCTTCCGGAACTGAAACAATGTCAATAGATTCCCCTTGAAAAATCAATCTTTAGAAGTACTCTTAAGAAGCGATCTCCAAAGGTCAAACCTTTATTACTCTAACTGACGTGGGAAACCACGTGTGCGCAGTGGAGGCCACGGGCGCAGGAGCAGGTATGTATCGTTTCCCTTTAAAACAATGACGACCCACTCTTTTTCTGGTCAGCGGCAGAGGCGATTCCCCTTGAAGACAGGAGAGGAAGGACTGCGCCTCCTCCAGTGTGCCGATAATCGAAGAAATAGGAGGGAGGAAGAAATCTTTTACTTGTTCTCACTAACCGTTTCTTCGCAGTTGGGCTCTTGTGATTTGGACGAAGCTTGCCTCCTCTCCCTCGGGATTCGACCTTAGATTCAACCTTGGTACTTCACAGGCATATTCTCTCTATTTGTCTTTCTGACTATCCGTCTCACATATTCTTACTGGCATTGCTCCTCTGGATTTGGATCCGTTCATTGCTAGTAAATCCAGATTCCGGAGATGGGTTTCCGGGAGATAATTGCATCTATTAATTGGGAGGACGAATCCTACCCTGCGTACGAGGACTTCGCCGTTCTCCCCTTCCTCGTGGTGTTCTTCCCCACCGTCAGGTTTCTGCTGGACAGATTCGTCTTCCAGGTAAGACTGTGGTTTCTGCGTACGATAATTGGAAGGTGGGTGATTAAGACTGTGGTCTCTCTCTCTCTCTCTCTCTCTCTCTCTCTCTCTCTCTCTCTCTCTCTCTCTCTCTCTCTCTCTCGCTCTCTCTCTCGCTCTCTCTCTCTCTCTCTCCCTCTCTCCCTCTCTCTCTCCCCTCCCATATCGCCGAGATCGTCTCTCGCTTCCTCGAAGTGCTCTGCTTTCGGCAAAAATCCGATCTTCGACTTGTTTGGTAATTTTCTCGTAGTGAAGATTGAAGATTTTAGCTTATTTCGCCTGCCTGGGAGTTGACGTTTATCTCGAGAGCTCTGGTCAGCCCACAAATCTTATCCTACTTGAGAAAGTTGCAACAGGGGAGAAAATTTTCTGTTCTAAAGGGAGGAAGGGGGTACATCAACTCTATTTCACCTCTTTTACCAGATATTTCTTTCTCAGCGAATTTGTCAAGGGGATAGGAACTTGCTTCCTAAATATTAGTAGGAAAAACTAATGGCGATGTAAATTCTTAGAACTACGTTTCGAAAACTTACCTTCAGCTGTGGAACTAAGTTTCATCTTATTATTAGGCCATCTACCTTACCCAATCCCCTAATTTTGACCGGGTCTGTTTGTCTTCAATTTCTCTGGTTTATGGTTGAGGTTTAGCCCTCTCTTAGTCATTTTTAATAATTTTTGATAAAAAAAATTAAAGCATTAGCAATATAATTTCCGATGGAATAAAAGACATAACACGGCATAGAGCATTCTTATTCATCTGTTTCATGTTCATCATGGGATATAATGTGATTTTTCCTTTCCTCTCTTCGGTGTTCCTGTTTCTAATCTATGAGTAGAAAAGAAAACTGGGATCCATGCATTCTATCCTTTTAAGAATTTCTTTATTGATGAATAATTGAGTTCCTTATTCGGGCTTTCAGATGGTTGGGTGTGATGAGGATTTATTATGCAGGGAATAACCAGGCGACTTGTTCTTGGGAAGGAACCCATTAAGGCTGGCGCTGAAACAGATGGAACTAGGAAGACTCTGACTAAGTTTAAGGAATCAGCATGGAAGTTTGTATATTTTCTGTCATCTGAAGCCCTGGCTCTCTCAGTCACTTATAACGAGCCATGGTTTACTAGTACTAGAAACTATTGGATAGGACCAGGGGAACAGGTCTGGCCGGACCAGAAAATAAAGTAAGATTTAGATTCTTCCCAAGTATATTTTGCTAAATATCAAGTTTTTATGCTGTAAAAGCTCTGTACTTGTCTGATTGGTTTCTGATCCCTAGGCTGAAACTGAAGGGCTTGTATATGTACGCTGCTGGGTTCTACACGTACTCGATATTTGCATTGCTTTTTTGGGAAACAAGACGCTCGGACTTTGGGGTGTCGATGTCCCATCATCTGGCAACAGTGGTGCTGATCCTCTTATCCTACGTCTTTAGGTTTGCTTCTGAATCTTCAACGTGCATCTATTTCTACGTGTTTAGATCTATGATTAGACATAAGTGCATCTTCACTTATGTCTAATCATAGATCTAAACTACCAGGGTCTATCCTATGCGCAGATCTATCAGCTCATTTAATTCTTTTGATCAAGAATTTAATTTCCGTATTCATTTTGGTTCCAAGGAGAAGTAAGAGTCATTGCATGAGGTTTTCTTTTTCCTAATTTGACCCTGTTTTATTTCAGATTTAAAACTCGAAGTTACAAGAACTTCGAATCATGATTTCCACTTATGGAGTGGTTCCACTTTATCTACTTTTTCTATGATGGTTTCTATCAAGCGAAAATGTAATTGATATACAAGGCATTTAAAATGAAAATACAAGGATACAAGGGAAGAGTATTGATAAAAATCAGAAATTTACTAGGCATTTGACAGATTGTTGATGTAATTTTATCAAAAATAGCTGTACCAATTATAGGGTATTAATTTGATCATCATTCCTCATAGTCTTCATCACCTTTTAACCTGCAGAAGATAATGTGTGACTTGATGAGATTGTAGCATCTGAGGTTATTTCTATTACCTATGAACACTGTCTGTTGATATGGAACCGATCACCAATATCTTTCTTTGAGAAACTGCATCCTCAAAGAAGAAAATTTCACAAGCAAACAAGACAGTCAAGATTAGCTTGGCGAAGAATGTTCATCCTCCTTTTTCTGTAACTGAATTTCCGTCAAATTAAAAGTAAATGATAATGTTTCCTTTCTGGGGTTGTACCTGTAAATAGTACCTTTTAGTTATCTAATTTCATGAACAGCTTTAATACAGTTTCAATAATACCAGCCTATCTTCCATGCTTCATAAGTACTGCTACTTCGGACAAAGTCATTAAATGAAAACTATGCGATGTAGAAGCACTATACAGTGATTTAAAATAAAATTCTAGTATATTTTCGTCAATATTTATTTTCCAGCATTATTATGCTTTCTAGGAGTTGCAGAGCCAATTGTGGATCAACCAATATTTTTGTGCATTTTCCTCATTTAAATAGGATCCATAATTAGCAGGATGCTCCTCCCCTCCCCTACTCACTCTCATTCCTTCTATGCATATCTTCTTTGCAGATTTGCTCGTGTTGGCTCTATGGTTCTGGCCCTTCACGATGCAACTGATGTTTTCTTGGAAACAGCAAAGATGAGCAAATATAGTGGTTACGATATGCTTGCTTCAATAATGTTTGTTCTCTTTGTTTTAGCATGGATTATTCTTCGGCTGATATATTTCCCCCTTTGGATCATCTACAGCACATGGTAATCACAAAGTCGTTTACTGTTTGCACTAATTTTGTTTCGTCTTATATTATTTTGTATTCCCGCTCGCTCAATCACATGGATGGGCACTCAGTTTTATTCTTGTCCGAAGTAAATTCAGCAAGTTACAGAGATGAACTCGTGTTGATGGTTGAAGAGATGATTTAGATTCCTGCTTGAGAGAATAATTGATTTAATTAGCCTTTTTTTTCGTAAAATTTGGTCAATCATGCACTCATGTGTTCTTGATCTTTCCACTCTGTTCCATCAAATTTTTTATGATCATTAATTAGCTTGATTTTTCAGTTTATAGATCTTACACTCCTTGCTTGGTATTCATATTTATAAAACATATATATGATTTATTACAGATATTTTTAGACATACAGGAGCATAGGCATAATATTTCAGGTGAAAAAGAGGGGTAAATCAAGATGAATTTATTAGCCCTTATTAGGTATATTTTATCTTTTAAAATTCCCTCCTTTGTTTTCTCCCAAATCTATACATTTTCTCTGCACCAATTATGTACAGATTACATGAAGATTTGGTTTCACCTTTTTTTAATTGATAGGCAGGGAATATCCTTTTTTCACCAATTATGTACATATACTTCGGTGTAATTTTTATTAAAATATTTATTAATGGAGAAGCAGAGTTTTCTGTGGCTTCGACCTTTTATTCCGTATAGTTCATTTTTTTAACATTTTCAGGTAACTCATTTCTTGAATTTTCCATATTAATTTTTGGGGGACCATAAAACATCACAAATGTTGAATATTTGGCATTTTTTCGATACCATTTTATTTTATTCCCTTATATATAAAACTGATGGTTTTTTTTGGCCTTTTGATTAAAATTTTCGGCTGGCTTATTTTTTCTCCATTTTCTGATAGTTATGAGTCAATACTGACCATTGACAAAGACAAGCATGTGGAAGGGCCGATGTACTACTACGTCTTCAATTCCCTCCTCTTCACCCTCTTCTTCCTCCACGTCTACTGGTGGGTCCTGATATTCCGGATGCTGGTGAAGCAGATCAAGTCCAGAGGCCAGATTGGGGACGATGTCCGATCAGGTGTGTGCCCGAACCCCTAAGATCCTCCATTCATACCGAAATTGAGAGAGTCAACCTACCATGAGCTAACCTTTTTATAGAAAAAGTCAACCTGACATCGCAACAAAATGGGTTCCTTCTGTAGATTCCGAAGATGAAGATGAACATGAAGACTAGACTTGGGGGGGGGGGTTGACTCTCTCCAGCTCCGTTCTTCGGGCTTCTCCAACCATGGGTTTTGTGATGATCTAAGGTAAATTCATGTTGGTAATTATGTCTTTCTTAATCATTTTATGCTTTTAAAATATGGGTGGGAGATGAAGTAGGGAAATTTATTCATACTTTTGGGTCTCATGATGTGTGAACAGTGCAAGAACAACTGGTTAATCTGAATTAGCCTTCATTTCTCAGTTCTGATCTTCAGTGGAGAATCTTACTTTCCTTCTCATGGAAATGTGATTATTTTTACCATAAATGGTTCTCAAAACCCGGGGATAGAAACAATGCCCGCGTGGCGGCTGACTCAGCTCGCCCCTATCCTTGTGTTCCTCGCTGGCAGCTGACTCAGCCCCCTCGCCATCTTCTGGAGCTCCACTGGGCATGGTTCCTAGCTTTGAAGGTCTGGGCTACTTGTTAAGTACCCGCAAAGTCACTCAATTATACGCATGCCCCTTTCGTTTTTTATTTGGACGTTTTAAGTCCCCGAAACTACATTGCACATTGCCATCTAGGTGTCAACACTCGGCACCTAGGTGTCAAGGCCTAAAAATGACACGTATTTTCCAAAAAAATAAAATCAGCCAAAGCTGAAAGTCTACTTGAATCAGCTGAAAGTCTAGCCAAGCTCTGCATTAACCTCTGTTCTTGAATCAGAGAAGTCAACTTTATATGTTTCGCGTGTCAACTTATTTTGCTCCGTGTTGTGTTATTTGAATTAGTCACCATTTGGGTAGTCAACAAGTGAGAAGTCAAAAGGGGTTGACTTAATGGAAACACCCCGGATGATGCTCTGTGAGTGAAGAAGGAACCGGGTTAAGCGAGCTTGCTGTGTCTGTATTTTCATTTTTGGAGTATTTTATTTTTTTTACGTTCTGATTTTATAAATAAAATTAAACCATTCTTATAAAAATCAATACAATTAGTGAAAAAGGCAGGTAAGAAAGAGAGAGAGAGAGAGAGAGAGAGAGAGAGAGAGACCACTGGACTGAGGGCCTAAAAACTAACGATGTTCATAGTTTCTGGGGACCTCAAAATTTAAGTGAGAAATAAAAGGTTTTATCGGTGATTCGGTAATTTTACAGGGAGTGAAAGCGAAACAACTATAAAATTAGTGATATTTATTGATGACGAGGGTAGCAGAACGGCCTTCAAAATGGAAGACAAAAGAGAGTTGCGTAGATTTACTTGCAGATTCTTGTTCCCCTGACGTCCTGAATTTTCGCCGCCGCCGCCGCCGCCGCCGCGCCGCCACTTCGACGGCGGATTTATTTTGAGAAGCCGCACCCCGTTCAGTCTGTTCGAGAGGTGACGGCTCGCTGGCACGGAATGGACGTCTATCTCCCTCTTTCTCTCTCTCTCTCTCGCTCCTCTCTCTCTCTGTTTCTCTCTCTCGCTCTCTCTGTCTCTCTCTCCTCTCTCTCTCTAAAGGACTCGACTCGCACTTGTCCTCGAATGTACAGGAACGCAGCCGCGTAACATATCTGAAACCCAGAGAGCATACAGCCAAAAATACAAGATCAGCTTTTACACAAAGCCAGAAGAAAGAAACCCTCAAAGCTGAGTTAGATCTTTCTGCTCCAAGCTTCTTCAGGGTTCGTCATCGACAGCCGGAGGAGCTTCTCAGGCTGGAAAGAATGGAGAACCCAGAACTAACAGAGAACAAAACTCCAGCCCCCCCCTCAACAAAACCTCTCTCTCTCTCTCTCTCTCAAAACACTACGGACTCACAATCTTCGAGACGTACGTACCTACCTTAAAAAACCTTCATCGTAAAATACATTCCTGTACAGATTATGGATTCTCCAGAGGGCCGAACTTATTTACCACTCCCTACCCGGCGCCATGATCTCTCACCGTGGCCCCGAGAGCTCTATCGCCTGAACGAGCTGCAGAGAGTCATCGGTAAGATCGGAGTACCTCTCAGAAGAAGAGAACTCGTGTGCTTTGCACTTGGAAGCGTCAGTCCTCTGCGAGGCCTCCCAGCGCTCGGCCAGGCCATCGCCCTCGAGCATCCTCACCACCTCCGCCATCCTCGGCCGGTGGGCGGGGCTGTACTGGGTGCAGAGGAGCGCCACCTGCACCATCTCCTCCAGCTCCACCGGGTCGCAGCCGCTCATCTCCTTGTCCACCAGCATCTCCACCTTCTTCTCCTGGTGGTTCTTCTTCACCTGCAGCACAGACCCATCATTCTGACCTCCATCTCGCTCTCTTATTGGGGTATCCAAAAAGACCCAGACTTCTTATCGCCGGAGCTCAGAAGAAACCCAAAAATCCATCTTCCCTCTCTGAGGAAACGAAAAACACCCAGCCTCTTCTCGCCGGTGCTCAGACAAAACCCAAGACCTCATCTTCTCTCTCTGGAAAAACCAAAAAACACCAGCTTCTTCTCGCCGGCGCTCAGGCTAACCCAAAAACCTCTCTCTCTTTCTCTCCCATGCTTTTACGAGGAGAATCCAAGGAAAACCAAAAAGACCAAGCTTTCTCGACGGAGCTTAAACTAAAGCCAAAACCCATCTCTCTGTCATGCTTATACGACGAGAATCTGGGGAAAATCAAGGAGAGAGAGGGATGTGCTCACCCAGTCAAGAATCGCTCCCTTCTGATTGGCAGCCTTGAAGAACTCCACCGCGGTGAGGCCGGTGATGAGCTCCAGTAGGAGGATGCCGAACCCGAAGACGTCCGTCTTCTCCGACGACTGCCCCGTGGAGAGATACTCCGGCGCGATGTGGCCCACGGTTCCCCTCACCGCCGTCGTCACGTGAGAGTCCCGGTGGTCCAGAAGCTTCGCCAGCCCAAAGTCCCCCACCACCGCCTCGCAGCCGTCGTCAAGGAGAATGTTCGCCGCTTTCACGTCTCTGTGGATTATCTTGGGGTCGCACTGCTCGTGAAGATACAGCAACCCTCTTGCTGCTCCGAGGGCTATCCTTTTCCTTGTGACCCAACTCAACGCCGGTTTCCCTGCAGAAATAGATAGAGATGACAGATGACTGAAAGTTCTAATTTTTCCATGGAAAAATCGGGTCAAAAACCTGTTTGAGCAAAAACTCCACGTGGGTAAGATGAACCCACCAGAAAATATCGAATCTTCGACTTGATTTCGTCACTTTTTTCCAGGAAAAAAAGAAGAAATGATTCCGGGTTGGGGGAAAATGGGGCACACGCACCTTTCAGCCGAGAGGCGACGCTTCCGTTGGACATGTATGGGTAGACCAGGAGCCTCTCGCCGGCCGTCATGCAGAATCCACAGAGCCTGAGGAGGTTCCGGTGCACGGCCAGGCTTATCATCTCCACCTCCGTCTGGAACTGCACCTCCCCGCCGGCGGCGTCCCCGTCCTTGAGCCTCTTCACGGCGACCACCGTCCCATCCTGAAGCACCCCCTTGTAGACGATCCCAAAACCCCCCTTCCCAAGAATGTTCTTCCCGCTGAAGTTGTCTGTGGCTATCTGAAGCTCCCTGAACTGGAATCTCTTCAGGTTCCCCAGGCACGCTTCTTCCGATTGTTGATCTGTAACCAGAGAATCATAAAAATCAAGAGGTTTGGAAAAGGTGAGTAGAATCTGAATATTAAGAGTAGAGAGCCTGGAACAATCGATTTCGGAATAATAAAGATCCAGGTAAGTGAATATAAATTTCGGAACAATCGATTTCAGTTTCCTTGATTTTGGTGATCTGAAAAATAATGCAGAGAAATTACGGGTTTGAACGACTGCAAATAATTTCTATACATGCTTTTATCGAAGTTGCTTGTAATTCTTTCTGGTGGCCTGGGAGAAAAGTAATAAAAAATTATTCTGAAGAAATTGACTTCACAGTCATGTTTTTATTGATAATGCAGAATTTCACAATGTTGAAACAATTCATTTCAGTAATCAGTCGGTAAACATGGGTAAGCATCCTTCGATCTTCCTCATGCTTCTTCAGCTTAATTGTTGACTCAAAAAAAAAATCAGATAAATTACAAGTACGTATGCCATTATTCATATTTTGCGCAATTAATTAATTTTTCTTATACTCACCATTGACATCGAAGAAAATCGGTTGATTGTTTCTCTGTCTCCGCCAGAGGAACAGCCCGAGGCCTACGATCACAAGAGCCGCTCCGCCAAGGCTCGCACCAAAAGCAACAGCAAATCTCCGATTCTTGGGCTTCGCCGGGCTTGAAACGTCTGAGAGATTATGAATGGAAGATTGGAGATATGATCAGCACAAACACGGATAAAACGGAAGATAGAAAGAAGAATCGAGTCAGAGGCAAGATTCGAAGTCGACAGCCATTTTTTCCAATAATTTTCAGTGGCTGGTAAAAGACATAATCAAGTTAGGAAAAAAAAATGAGATTTTGGGTACATTAATTAAATTATTTACCATGCTGAAGAGTATATTACTGCAAAGACGGTAATGATAGAATATGCAGGATCGAACTTGAAGATCATGGATGTTGCGAACCCATTATCGAATAATCTTCGCTAGGTGATAGAACTATAACCAAATAGATAAGATCATTCCAAGGATATTTCTTTCGTGATTCAGCTGATTATAGATGGAATATTACGCGAGAAAAAAACGGATGACGTCACTTCTGACGTGGAAGCAAGGTAGAGAGCATAAATAGAAATAATAACGGAGAAGGAAACTTACTCTGGGAAGTGAAGTTGAAGGAAGCAGGAACAGAGCCGAAGCAGTCGCTCTCCGACCCAGTTGCACAAATCAGAGGATTCCCAACAATGCTGCAGCAAAGATAGATCCCGGGTCAGAAGTTCTTCCTATTCCATGACACCATCCATATATATTTCCAAATCAAGACAGCCCTCAGCATCCATCGTCTTCCACAACTAATGAAGAGGCCTAGCCATTGATTTGGGCATCTGGGCAGTAGAGATAGACTTGTGACAGTCCAGCAGGATCATTGACGCATACTCAGGAGGCATCCTAGGAGTTTGATCATCACCTTCACTCCATTTAATTTCCGAATGTAGGCGTAAACTTTGATGAGTTGATCCGTTCTGCGCCCAAATATTCTGATCTAACGACTAACGGGGGTCCCTAACAGAGGAACTTAATCCTTCTCCTGGCTCCGTGGGTGTTCTTAGATCGTTCTACGAGGATCCAAGGATATGGAGAGAGAAAGAGGAACAAGAAGACTCTTCGATCTCACCTGAATGTCCTGGCAGGAAAACTGGGCACCGGTCCGCTCAGATTATTGTAAGATAAGTCCCTGGAACCATGGGAGGAAATGATAACATTATAATTTCACAATAAATGAAGGGATTTCTTTCTACATGAGCAAATCTATGACCAACAGTAAAACCCGACAGAAAGATTCAGAGACTTTACAGAAACGAGAGATGAGTGATGCTCGCCAGAGACTGAGGAAACTCTCCGGATAGGCTGTTGTTGTTGAGCCTCCTGCAACCGGGGAAGCAGGGGGGAAGAACACCAATATGTTAATAGGGAAAAAGAGAGATGAAGGACCCAGAAGAGAGTTTCTCCAAATATGGGCTTACAGGTACTCGAGGTTCCTTAGTTGACCCAGAGACGAGGGGATTCGCCCCGTCAAGAGGTTGTTGGAGAGGTCCAGAGTCCGGAGGTGTGGCAGCTTCCCAATATCCGGTGGGATTGGGCCCGAGATGTTGTTGTTCTGCAGAAGCCTGCAGAAGAAAGAAGAAGGTGAGAGTAGAATGAAGAAGAAGAACAGGACGAAGAAGAAGAAGAAGTTCTCATCGAATATACACTGTCTGCAGATTCGTCAGGTTTCCGATGCTGGGAGAGAGGCTGCCGGAGAGGTTCTGGCTCGGAGTTCCTCTGCAATAGCGACAGAAGACCAAATTTAGAAGGCAAAACCAAGGAAGAACCAGTACCCGATTTCAGAAATGGCATCTGCCCATACAGCCCGATGACGAGATTCTCCGGCGAGCAGGTGACCATGGTCCAGCTGCATGGATCCACAGAGTTCTTGTCCCAGTTCTCCAACACCCCGTGCGGGTCCTCCAGAGATTCTCTGATGCCAATGAGAGCTTGCACTGGAACAAGCAAAAGGAGGCCCAAAATGAGGAATCGAGAGAGAGATAGCGAGAGAGAGAGAGAGAGTAGAGCAGAAACCTTCATAGTTAATCCCCAAGGGAGAGAGCACAGAGACCACGGGAACCGAGAACCAGAGAAGAACCAGGAAACGTAAGCCACCGCCCCTCTCCATCTTCCCAACACCAACACTTCACTATAGTAGCAAGGCGGTTTCTACTCACTCCCCCTGTAGAGATTCGAGCTGACCTTCTGGGTAACCTCTGAGCTTGGGGGCATGCCTGGAGGAAGATTCAAACTTTGCAGGTTTTCTCGCCTTCTCTGTCTCCCTCGGTTTCTAGCAGGCCATCATATCTCTGTCCCAAAGAACAGGCAGAGGCGAGGGGTTCCTCATGCTTCCCGAAGAAGGAAAAAGGGCAGGACTCAATCATGTCAAGCCTCCCATCACAGAGAGCCTGACATGTAGAGTCGGAATGGAAGTTTTTAGCGGTGCCCAATGCCCAGCTCTTGCAAAGCTCTCATCTTTTCATCCGAGATTTCGTAAAAAATACTACAGCACTCTAAATATGCTCCACCAGATCTCCCCATTTAATACAAATTCTCATTCTCCCTTTTATCTTCCCACCTGTGCGAGAAAGAGAGAGAGAAAGACTGAGCAAGAGAGCAGACTGAGCAAGAGATAGAGAGAGAGAAGTATAAGATTGTTAAATGGGGTAAATGGGCATCATGATATGCAACCTTTGATGTGATGCAACACTGGTGGTGGGGAAGGGGAGAGATTCTGATGGGAAGTGGGGTGAGGAGGAGGAGAATAAAAAAACGTTCTTGTGGACCTGCCAATCTGTTCTACGGAGGAAGAGAACGAAGCGGGAGGAGGGAAGGCCAGCTAGCGGGACAGAGGAAGGGAGGGATGGGCCCCACGAAGTTGAACCCGTCATGACCGTCGGATCCGTGTGCTCCTCTCGGGGCGACAGAAATTCCGCCGAGTAGATGACGACCCTTCACACTTCGAGGACAACGCATGGAGAGGTATAATAATCACATCGAGTTCGAGGAAGACCTTTTTGAAAAACGGATTATTTTCCCTTAAAAAGCATCTATTTTAGTATTATGTTTATTTTCATTGAAAAAATTACCCCTTGATTATCTAATCAATATTTTTTATAAAAAACCGTTTAAAAAATAATTTAAATTTATTATATTTCTTCACGAAATCTGTCTACAATAATTTTCCAATTTCTAAAAATGTTTTCAAAAGTTCATTAAGTTTTCTTCTTAAATACTAATAAGCATATCGTCGATATTTAGAATTTTACCATCAAATTACATGTAAAAGTGCAGAGCCTAGTCAGATGTTCTACATATTTGGGTTTGACCCAATTCTTAACACAGTCTGACCTCTCTCTCTCTCTCTCTCTCTCTCTCATACGTGCTTATAAACTGTTGGGTAAGATATGTCATAGACTTCACTAGGGCTAAGCTGAGCTGAATGCTCGCCTTTTAAGTTCCAACATCAAATTGGAAATTCGACCAAAGTTTTTACGATATAAGGGATCAATTAGGTAATGTCCACTCGCTTGATCAACAAAGATTTGAGAAAATACAAGATCAACTCCCTTTAAAATTAGATAATGTACCAAAATTTAATGACCGCCAATAAATCATTTCATAATTGTATTTTTTCTTGATTAAATGAAAATAAATCACTAGAACATAACTTGTCATTAGGAGATTAAAAAGATATAAAAATGAATCAAATGTTTTTTTTTCTCTGAATATGTGGTAATGCTCCCTAGTAACCCTCTTTTAATCAGATTCACCTTTCTTGTGGGAAGCCCAGCATTACGTGGTTTAGACCAAGTTTGTATTGTCGATCAAACAAATGGCCATTTTTCTCTAGATATCATGTTCTTACCATAATTAAATGCAACTACTATCTTTTTATTCAGAGAAGGAAAACCCATTAGTTTTAAGGTGTACTACTCTCAGGGACGAGCTGGTGGCAGCCGAGATCACGCGCCCGTGTGATGCCTTCCCGGCGGCGCCGGCGGAGTCAGGGCGGCGCGCCGCCGGAGTGTCGCCGTTTTTATACGGCGCCTCCTCTGCGCGGAAACAGTGAAATGGCCAATCAGAGAGCGTCAGCTCGGCGCCTCCGGGGCGGGGCAGAGAAAGGAGAAGGCTGCCAAGGTCTTCTCTGCCACTGCCGCCTCCAAGTGAGAAAACCAGAGGGGACGGACCACCGTAAGCAGAAGGGTTGTTTGCAAAATAAGTATTTCATGGAGGTTTCTTTTTAAGGAATCTAACATGTGGAGGACTTTATTCCCAAAGAGTTGACTAGTTTATGGTCGCTGTAAAGTAGGGCTATATTGTTTACAAGATATTATCTAACTTTGGTTGTCATTCTGTCCCTGGAAACATAATGTGGCTCATGAGCTAGTCATCAGTTCATGTGCCGTTGACTTACCACAGGTAAAAAATGAGATGCCCTAAATACCCTCGTCTAAGTAAACCCTAACCCTCATTTCTGCTGAATTGATGACAATCTCTCAAGAGGAACATGGTCTAATTGTCCTTTTTTTTATAAAAAAATTACCAATTTTAAATACCATTTATTTTTTTTCGAAATATATCACTAGCTCATTGAAATCATGATCCTCGTTTTCAGCAGCTTGTGGGTGAAAAAGGTTAAAATAATATTACAGAAAACCTAAATCTCATTGTAAGGCACCTGTGATACCTTCAAGCAGTTACTTTGGAGGAAAGGAACGCTACTCATCAAAATCCATCACGAGCCCATAGCCACATTTGGAAAGACATTGCCTTTCTTCCTTCTTGGAACCAGGATCTTCCTTTCTCTCTCTCTCTCTCTCTCTTCCTTTGCTCACATTGGCCGACTAGATTATCAGTTGGATGTCAGAATAATCATAAAACTGAAAATCTCCTCCATGGGCCGTAAGAACTGTCGTCCAAAAGTAATGCGAGAAATCAAGGATAACAACCTCCATGGGTCTTTCCGAGATACGAACAAGTCCAGAGAAAACTCTGTGGCAATGGGCGATGGGATCTTGTCCATTAAGATTTTCTCTCAAGGATATGTTTGACAATTCACCCGTCCAGGGCCCCACACCCCGAAGGGCACGGAGGGTTCTTTAATGCAGCGATCGCCGGCCAGCCCTTGGCCCCAGGAAGCCCGGGTATTTTGTCGTCTCGCCTGGACATCGCACCATTGGAAGTTGGCGTCGTTCGTCTTTCCTGACGGCGGTCCTGCACGAGAAAGAGAGAGAAAGGAGTAGAGAGAGCTGGTTAGATAAGAGGGAGGGATAGATGACGAGAGACGGACAGAAAGCGAAGACTCAGACATGGAGAAAGTTAGAATAGGGAGAGAGACAGAAAAAGCGAGCGTCCGAGAGAGAGAGAGAAAGAGAGAGAGAGAGAGAGAGAGAGAGAGAGAGAGAGAGAGGTAGAAAGAGAAAGATGAGGGAGCCAATGAGGAAGAGAGGTAGAAAGAGGAGGATCGGAGAGAGAGCAATGACCTGCGGGTTCTGACGAGAATTATGTGCGCGACGGGTAACAAATGGGAGTCCTCGTCCCCTTGGGGATTCTAAATCTGTGGGGAAAAAAAAACGTGATTCTGTGTCCAAATTAGATCTGTAAAGTAATTCAACACTGTGACTCGAGTCACCACTCGAGCTTCTTACGAGCAGAAACTGAAGTTATTGACTTATTGACTTGTTAGCTTCTTCAGGACTATTCAGTCTTTGGCTCGAAGCTTGTGGGTACAAATAGCTTCCTACTCGAAACCAAGAAAATCTAGAACGTGAAACAAATAGCTTAAGATCTTTGACTGCGGGTACTCTTCTTCAGTTCTCTTGGGTTTCCTTTTTGCCGCATAGATGATCGCCCTAGCTGCTGGGAGTGGTTGGAGAACCAATAAATGGCTTTCAGCTGCCCATATAAAGTATGTTTTGGTGGATAATAAATGTGAGAAGTCTGTACAAAGGGGGCAACCAGGCCTTATAACGGGTTGATCGGCTAAAAGGTATTGTCACCTAATAAGAAGACGAAATGACTTGACATCCCTCACTAGATCTTTTCTTTCTCATTACAGACAATTAAACGTACTAACTTCAGTAACTTAGGGTGCAATGTATACATTGATGGGTTGACCCACTTACAGACAGTTTTGTTCATTTTATTTAGTGTTTAAGATAGGATTTAAGTTTCATATGTACATTATATATTTATCAATATTTAGTAATGAACTAAAAATATTATGATAAAAGTAGATTCCTTAAGGTACTTTCAAGTGGACCCCCTCTCACATTCTTCATATGATCAAAGGACTCCAATATTTGGTGCATGTGCAATAGTAGAGGCAAGCTGTAATAGTATCCTTAATTAATAGATATATAATAAATAGGCAACACATATTATTATAGACTTTGAAATCATTAATGTAAATTGCTTTCAATCTTATTCATTGCAACGATAATATTATATATCATAGGATATGAACTGTTTCAGAAGAAGAACAACGGTTAATCGTAACCATAATGAATGGGGAAGTAATTCTCTCTTCCATTCCGCTGGATTCTCGATGGACGAATCGAAAGGTGACTACAGTCCATCCAAACAAAAAAAGCATATCCCTATTCACGCTACTCGACATGCGCTCTAATCCATCCGTATAACCTGCAATTATAAGGCACGGGTCCCAGCTGACGAACCCTTTCAACCCCTCCAAGTTCCTGTCCATCTCTCAATGACACCACCAAGTACTCTTCCCTTCAAAACATCTCGCTTTTGGCGTAAGCCATGTGTTCTCCATCTTTCCCTACCTATCGTTGTTTGTCATTCTTTTACGATGAGCAGTGGGAGATGGTGCACGGTAGGTTGTCATGAATAGTCCAATTGGTAGCTTATTTATTGGACTTTCCGACGCTATCGCCTGTATCCTTCAGAGATTCGACGATGATAGTTCAAAGAGTAATTATTCCACAGGTGCCTATGAAAAGAAAACGAAATAAGAAATGATGTCAGATTTGTTTCATATTTCGTGTCCATTCTTCTCTCGTCCGTGGTGAGTCCCATGAGGTCGATTCCGTTTCTCAATGCTTGCAGAAATGGAAAGCAGGCGGGAAAAATCTACGTGAGAATCGTCAGGGGTAGGGGGGA